CAGTGGCATAACAAGTCCAATGTTATCAAGTATATAAAATGTAGCAGATGTCACATGCTTGATGGAGTCCTTTTTTGTTCCTTTTTTTTCTTTTTTGGTTGGTCTAATGATTATTATTGTGTAATAACAATAATAATAATAATAATAATAATATGTAAATCCATGTATGTAAATGTGTGATGGAAAAAACAAAAAATGTTCAAAAAAAAAAAAAAAAAGCATATAAAATGCAAGATACGGATACATTACACTTTTATATTTTAACGAATAATGTCCCAAATGAAAATCCCGTTTTACCTGTAGCCCCTAAAGGATGGCCTTTCGAAATGAGACCACCACTTGGATTGACCACAAATTTGCCTCCATATGTGTTGTCACCTCTGTCAATAAACTCTCCTGCTTTGCCTATGAAAAGCATAAACCAAGAATTTGTGCTACAGTCTTAGCGTGTGGTTATGGTAACAACATTTCAGTGTATGTCTTACCCTCTGGACACAGGCCCAATGCTTCATAAGTAATGAGCTCATTGGCTGAAAAACAGTCATGTAGTTCAACCACATCTACATCGTTAGGAGTCAGTCCAGCAGACTTAAAACACTTTTTAGCAGCAGTATGTGACATGTCATATCCCACCTGTACACACAAACACACACTGGTTACCAGTATTTCAATTGCTCTTAGAAAGTAGTTGAGGGTGTACTGGTTCACTTACCATTTTAATGCAGCTGTTTTCATCAAATGTGGATATCAGATCTGTTACCATCTCCTGAGCCAGGATCTCAACGGCCTGTTTTTCCAAATGGTGCTTACGAACAAAGGCCTCACTCGCTAAAACTGCAGCCGCTGCACCATCTGAAGTGGGACTATAAGAAAAGATTACAAAAAAATCAAACCTTAACTTTTAAAAAACTCTGTAGTCTCTTACCAACACTGCAGCAGAGTGAGGTATTCAAAGACCTTTCTTGAGCCTTTGACTTGATCCAAACTGTACTCAGCCTGGAATTGGGAATACCTGCACACATAATAAATGCTTTTTAAACCAAGTCACTACACAGTTCCTGAAAATATGGTTAGCTGTGTCTTACGGATTGTTAGTTGAATGCTTATGATTCTTCCAAGCTATTTTGGCAAAGTGTTCAGGTTTTGTCCCTAGAAAGGTTCATATTATTATATTATATGTGGTACCAAAAAAAAAGGTTTCACGTGTCACTTTTAATTCATTTTTTATACCATATTTCTCCATGTGTTCTCGGCCAGCATTGCCAAACATCTGAGGTGCTGCCGGAGCTGCTGCCATGCCGTAACGATTAATCATTACCTCCATGTGTTTGTCCATTGGATTGGTTCTGTCCATAAACTAAATAAAAAAAAACACTGAGTAAACTTTTATATTTTCCCTTGTGTTTTTTGGCAAGTTGTGTTTGCACATTTGTCAACCATTTGTCAACAGTTGAAGTAAGAACAGATGTATCACCTGCTAATATTTTCAACCTAAAATCTTAATAACACAGGTATGGATAACTTGTTTTCTCTATTGCATATTTATTAAAACAATAAGGTCATTGTTGAATACCTTTCCAGAAAGAGAACCTCTCTCCATTTTTTCAAATCCGAGGGCAAGCACACAATCAGCCAGCGCTGCACATTGAGATCATAGATGTCCATGAAAGCAAAATGTAGAGGAAAAAGTGAAGCCAATGTTTGAATCTTTGATTGCCCAGAGTTTTTGTTTTCTTTGTGTTTGATTATTTTTGTTTTTGTTATGTTAAATTTAAAAAAAGGGAAAAATAAAAAAAATAAAAATTAAACAGCTCACCTCCTTGAATGAGCTGCCGTGCCATGAACAGAGCAGTGGAGCCTGTGGAGCAGTTATTGTTCACATTGATGATGGGGATCCCGGTTAAACCAAGACTGTGGTAAAGTGCCCTCTGCCCACATGTAGAGTCTCCTACAGACAGTCAAAGAACAAAAGAAGAGACTACCATAACCATAATGGTTAACAATTCTGTTTCTGAAATGATAATACATTGGCATGGATGGGTTTTCACTGTGGACAAACTCAATTAGCACTTGTTATTCTTACTCATTTTCCTTTAGGCTATAAAAAAAAAAACACTCAAGATGAGATAATTACTACTTTCAACTTGTGCATTACTTGATTAGTTTACTACACCTTTGAATAACTTATTAGTAATATATTTTAATCAAATTTATTTTAGGCACCTTTTTAGGCACCTTAAAATACAAGGCAAAATGCATTAGCAAATAAAATAAAAACATACAGTGTGTTGGTAATGGAGTGTATGCATAATGTCCATTTGTATAATTATCAATGGCTAAGATAACATGAACACCAGAAATCTGATTATTCTCTGATTTCTGAACCCAAATGATAATTTAAATAACGTGCAAACTACAAATTATGTTAGTAATCAGAGGCACCATCATGATCAGAATTCAAAGATTACTTTGCTGTTTGTATTTTAAATATCTTAAACCTCCAAAAATCTGCTAATAATAATATATTGAGTGTGCATTTAACTGCAGCCTGTGTGTTTTTTGTGTGAGTTTTGATTTTGGGCATAATTAATATATGTTTAAATTAAAACCATAATGATTTAGTTTCTGGTTGAAAACACAAATCAAACTCCAATAGGTCAAAGTTTGGACAACGTGCAGATAGTAAAATGATTATGTGTACACAGCTTTACCATAGACATATCCAACACACGCTTGCTCAATGGCAGAATATGGGACCTTTGCATCAGCCAATGCCTTTTGGCCTAAGAAAACAAACAGAAAGTTTCATGAAAAAAGACTATACCATAAACACACATTGTCCTGTGTCATGTGTCCATTTCTTTACTCACCAGCTTCTTTAGCCATGTCAGGGTAGTCATAATCATCTCTAGCTCCAGGTTTGTCAAACTGTAAGAAGTTAATATTTTGATCTCACTGATATTTTCAGCTCGTGTCATCAACATTCCCTGAAGTATGATGCTAACTGTAGGCATCTCCCTATCTGAAGCATTGTTAGACATTAATCTGAGCTTTCTTTCTCAACAATTTGCAAAGAATTGATTTGGCTGGAACTAAAACAGGTGAGCTGATTCATGATGTTAAACAAGTCTCTCACACCGAGCTAAAATTACAGTCACAAGCAGACTTTCATAAGCCAACAGTTTTGCAGTAATATTTTTGTTGAAAGGCTCCTGAAAATGTGCTGTTAAAATATATATTTGTAACCTATTTTTCCACACTTGTTTTCACACAGCTTAGAACTTTTTTTTCAGTGTTTCCTAATGTAGGCATTGTGTCTCCATGGTAACTACTGAACTTTCCACCATAGAGATACACGTAGAACACCCCCAACGTGATATCACTGCGAAGTATCAGTAGATAGGTCATAGATGCCATACATTTCAAAGTTTACTTAAAGCTGGTTGTTATGAAACTGTTAAGCACCATGGCTGCTGGATGGAGACCCTTAACACAGTGAACTATGAACAGTTAATCAGGAAACAAGACAACATGGCCGTGTATCAGAAAAACAGGTGTACTTTAATACAAAAAAAACACACACCACATAACTAAGCTTGAGATGAATGTTGAGGATAGCAAACCCTCAACTTTTCTGTTTTGCTAAAATCAGTCTCAACACCCCACGGTCAGAATTAGCAGAAAAAGTCAAGTCTTGGATGGTGCCAAAACAGATAGTAACTTTTTTTTTTTTTAGCAGAATTGTTCTCAAATCATTCCTCACCTAGCGATAATAGTTTGTTAGTTGACAGCATCTCTGCCAACTACTTTAGCCACAATGCTAACGTAAAGCTATCACAGTAGATTGTGTGTAAGGTAGTGAAGCAATAAAACAAAACATGTACCTTTGTCATCCCAACTCCAATGACATAGACTTTGTTTTTATTTGGTGCCATGGTGTTTGTTGGTCAAAAGACAATGCTGGCAGCTGGTCCTGTGAATATATACAGTCTATGGTCCTGTGTCGCTGAGGAGGATCTGTGTCCTACTTTTACTCTGACGCTTGCGTAAAACGTCCACAGATCGTGCACGGAGTAAGATAAGTCACTTGGTCCACGAGAAGGAGGATCAAGAATTTTTACCATCATAAAAGGTAAAAAAGAAAAGTGTAAAATGCGATGTAAAAGCTATCCAAACACGTGTAAGGTATCTTACAAATCTTTGGTCATCTTCATTTCACAATAATATTGGGTCTCTCAACTCCATCATAATAAAGGTGCACTATGTAACTTCTACGGTGGAGGGTCCGCGACTTGCATGTCTCCATGGAGATGTTATTTCTTTGCCTGGAATGTTCCACCGTAGCACATTAAACATATTTCCCTTGCATTTGTTAAATTACAGGTGTTTTATAGCTAAAAAATAACTTCAAAACATGACCATGTGCAGGCTTGCATTTACCTGTTTGTATTGTGATTACCAAATTTATTTACATAATGTGGAATAATCAAGGCAAAACAGTAATATCTCCAGGCGAGGCTATATCTTAGTGGTATTTAAATGTCATCTTGTGTCTTAATAGAATCAAAAAATAAAAATATATAATTAACTGCTCTTCTGAAATAAAGTTAATTTACTTTATTTAATAGAACAAAAATAAATTCATACTCTAGAATAGACAATAAAGCAAACTGAATCACAGAATAACAGTTCAGTGTCAGCTCTGTGCCTATCTGTCAGTGCAAATAATTTATTTCCACCAAGCTCTACCCAATATAATTCTCTATCCCATTTCCACCACTTCTTCAAGTTGATCCATGCCTCTAGTTTACTTATTGTAACCACTCTGGCTCCTGGCTGCTCTCACTGCAAACCCAAATGTTGTCTGTAAACCATAGTCCATAGAGGTTCTTATCTCACCTCATCCATCAACATGTTCGCCACCACGACCAACACAGAATAAATGTAATTCCTGTGACCTTACCAAAACAATAACAAGAACTGACACCAACAAGGGAACGTAACACTGCCAGTTTTATTGACATGAAAAATATAATTCATTTAAACTGTAAAGAAGAGTTTTTTTCCAGAATATTTGTGTTAGTGTTAAGAAGCCCCTGGATAACATCTGGATTATTTATGATTTAGTTATATTTATGTTGAAATGACTTTAACACTTTATAAACTTGTGGGTAACTTCATATATTCCTACTGATTCGCTGACCTTTTCATCATAATCAGTCCAGTCCTGAAAATATTTATTGCAATCTGTTACTGTTAAACATTTGAAATAATAATAATAATTAGATACTGATGAACTAACTTACTTTTTCTAAGAGGGTAATTTCAGGAAAAGGTGTTCCAGACTCGGCTCCCTCCGCTGCAAAGCCAGCCTGCAATATGACCGAACAAAAAAGTATCAATTATCCCAAGAAAATCTTTTAAATTCTACGTTAATATAATATTCTTACTTGTGGCCAAAAGTCAACAGGTTCCAAACCTCGACATTCAAACTGTATCATTGTCTTGAAGCATTCACTGTCCTCAGCCTAACACAGGAAAAGTATTATGTGAATGCAATTAACACTTACAAGTACAAAGTTTGTCACTAGTTAACAATACAACATTAATTTCCATTTAAGGTAAAATAATGCAAGTAAATAAGAAAAAAAATAGATTTTCATGTAAGAAAAAGTCATTTTTTGAGTAAAAATGCCAAATTGCTTGTATTTTGGATACATACATTTGAATAATAGTTAATACCTGATTTTGCTGACATAATAGATAACAAAAGGGAATTTTGAATTTAATTTTAAGCATTTAACTAAATTATCTCCCCTTTCTACCCAGGCTGCCAGGAGGCTAGGAATCTGCATCTCCCCAAGAACATAACATGTTTTTCGTATGAAGAATTGACTATATTTTTAAAAATCATAAAAACTCAAAATATTGTTAGTAGTTTGGTGCCTGGAGATGTTTGTTACAGTGTGAAAAAACACATTTTACTTTTTTCGATTAAACCTATCATGATTGGAAGCTAATAGCTGAAAAACAGAATGGACAGTTTCTTTGTTTACAAGTAAATAAACCTGAGATCACTCTATGGAGTAGACAGACTGAAAAGCTGAAACTTGACATATAAAAGATAGAAAAACTCTATAACTTACATTATATGGTTTAATTGTGTCCCCAAGGATATCTGTAAAATATTGATTTGGTTATTTATAGACAATGTATTTATTTGAACTGATTTCATAGATGACCTAGATGTGAGTTGGATAGCCTACCAATAGAATTTTCCCTGGAACAGAGTTTGCATTTTTGCACCATGCTAGCACTTCCTCGTCCACCTTTTAAAGGGGTACTTTCCTATAAAATGGCACTTGTAATGAGTATGTGGATAATGCAGGTCTTATTTTCTTTTGTTGTCTTTCGCTAATTAATAAAATAACCTTACCGCCTGAGTGATATATTGCCATTTATCGGATATCTCTCCACAGCTGCCACACTTGAGCTATAACAGAGAAAGTACTGCAGCATCAAAAATGAATGAAATTATGATTAATCTGGCTCATGTGAGCATTACCAAACAAGAAGAAGCTAGTTTTTCCGTGTTTATTGGATATAACGACATGCTTTTTGACGGAGGACATGACACCTAACGATGCAGACTTCGGAGCACTATTCTTCAATCACTGTTCTTATAAAGACAAAATGTGCTAACCTTATCATCAATATCTAACGATAAAGTGTGCATGTTTAAACGTAGATGTAGAAAAGCATGCCTGCTGTTCAACATAATGGAACAAAAATGTGTATATCACAAGTGTAGTCAATGATATGCTACCTTCAAAAACCATCGAAAATCGTCCCCAACTGGCCTCACGTTGGTAACATTTTCCAGCGTGGCTTTAAACTGTAGCCCAAATTTCTGTGAAATATAGAAATAAACGTGTTGAGAAAATGACAAGTAATTTCACGTTTAGAGTAGAACATGCTACATATACACACCACCATGTTGACGCGCTCAACGACAACAACTTCCTCTGCTACGTTCAGGCACACGCTGAAATGGTACGATATTACAGTTTTAAGAGAGCAATTTCAATACTTGATATTATTCCACTGCCTATAAGTTATGAGTAGGTAAAAAAAAAATAAATAAATAAATAAAGGGACACTTTGAAAACACATCAGATCTCAATGTGGAAAAAATAAATAAAATGGTGGAACCAGTGGCAGACTTGCCAAATCTGGTGTCGTCCAGCAAATGCCAATGGAGCTCTATAATTGTTTGGGCAGAGACATTCACACCAGTGGCCTGCTGGAGGTCATTTTGTAGGGCATGGGCAGTGCTCAATCTTGCACAAAGGAGCAGATGGGTCCTGCTGATGAGTTGAGGAACTTATATCCTTGTCCAGTTCTCCAAGAGTAACGGCCTCCTCCTGAAATCTCCATGTTCTGGAGACTGTGCTGGGACACATAAAATCTCCTTACAACAGCACGTCCGGATGTGCCATCCTGGAAAAATTGGACAAAATTCTGCAGTGTTAAAGAATCGCCTCATATTCACAGTAGTGAGTATCACTCTAGCCAAAGCAGCACTAGTGTAAAACCAGCCAAAAAAGACCAAAAGCAAGAAACTTGAAATGACTTCCACATGCAAAACCAGTCGTTTCAGAGGTTCTTGCTGTTGCCACTCTAGTGCATTTGATGTTAACTTCCATTAAAAGAGGTGGCCTTTTGTTCCTAAGACATCGCACTGTTCATATTTATATAGACATTCACACTGAGATCTGATGTGTTTTCATAGTGTTCCTTTAATTTTTAGAGCATTGTGGTTTAAAACTGTGGTCTGAATTTTGTGATTCTCGATGCTGTAAATCCGCTTGCATGCATGCAATCATTTAAAAAAAGCGCCCTCTAGTGGAAAGGCGACACCGCGATACCACATGCACCGAACACACCATTTTGATCATTAAGGAGGAAAGGTTTAGTTGGTTGAGATACTTTATTGGTCATTAACCAATTGGATCATTTGAATAAAAATTATCCCCACAATCCATTGCAGTCATACAGTACAAATAGCTGGTACAAACCATTCACACATCTTTTTACAGAATACAATTAAGGTACAAAAACAAGTACATTAGAATGGTTACGGGGATGTCATTGTTTAATGATTTCTCATATTACCTGAGGCAACTTTGCAGAGGCATAGAGTAATTTGTGGACAACAGCCACACATCCTGGTTTTTATATATTGATCTGTGGCACTCTTACTTAATGTTCAACGTTTTATTATAGTGTTGCCAACCTGAGTTCACGTATCACTTTTTTTGTCCTAACACAGTTCATCTTCTATGTAGGTGTAGCCAATACCTTGCAATATTGTTTAACGCCCAGCCGGTCTACCTTTGGCTTCAGTTGCTTGAGGTTTGTATTACTTTGCTTATGATTACAAGTAATGAAGCCACACATACATTTTGCAGTATACAATACCATAAATAGATTGTTCTGTGCAACACTGGACATTAAAGAATCATTTTGAGAAACAAGATTTTCTGCATATAAACCAGACACCTTTAAAAGCTCATCTTTGATGATACCCATCTAGAGATTCAATCTCCCCCAATCATGAGGATTCAAGTTTTTTTCAGACATAAAATAAAATAAAAGTGTTTCCCTCTTTTATTCATTATGGGCATAGACTTCCACGAAGCAGCAGAGGGTCAATTAACAAAATACAACCAGGAGAGAAAACACAAATGATTTAACCATTGACTTGCCAGAAAAACAATGGGCCATGTTCTCCTTCCCCTTCCTTGTAACAAAACACTAACCCCTACATCCAACTATTACAGGGAATTAAACCAATACCAAATGTAGTAGTAAAAGGCATTGCAATTATTTGATTCTTAAATATGTTGACCACCAACTCGCATTATTTACAGCACTCTCCACACCCCTCTCCGCACTGAAGAGAGGTGTGACGAGGTCAATGAGGACGACTGCTCGACTCTGAGGTCCTTCGTTGTCGAGGGGTACTGTGGCCATTCGTGCACCCATTGTGTCGCTTGTTTAGTCCACCATTCAGAATGTCTTGGATGTGCTGTACTATCAAATTGATAGCCACTGCAAAAGAGGAAATGTTTTACATATATTGTTTTAGTAAAAATATATGCATGTACAGAGGCCATTTTCTACCGTTAAGTGTATCATAAGAAGTCCTTTAACAGGAAAAAAAATATTTAAAAATTATTTAATATATAATCGGAATTATATAAATTCCTATATAGTATAATAATATGAATTTATTGTGGATTACCAAGTTTATTAGCAATTGGCAGAAGATTTAGAAATGCATTTACTGGAAAACTGCAACATACCCAATAAACTTGTACTGTTACATCGATGTTCTTACCAAGGTTGTCAGCACCTCGAGGAATGATGACATCAGCATATTTCTTTGTCTGAGAAGTAAAATAAGATCATTGCAGTGACTTTAATCATTTATAGCTCACCATGAACCAAACTTACTGGTAAGCAGAATTCTTCAAAGGCTGGTTTTACAAAAGTTATGTATTGTGCCAACACTTGCTCTAACTCTCTGCCACGCTGGCTTATATCTCTGAGAACTGAAATAAAAACTTTACTTTTAAAATCAATGGTGTAAATAATGATTTGTGCTCATCTGCACTAATGTTCAGACTCGAACCTCTGCGTGACAGGCGTGTATCTGGATCTGTGTCAACAAATAGCTTCATTTGAAAGAGGTCTCTGATCTCCTGAGAATAGAACATCAGGATCCCCTCAAAGAGAACCACATCAGCAGGGTACACAGTCACAAACTCGTCTTTTCTGTAATGATGGTCATAAATGCACATAGATGAGTCTACTTACTTATACTGGACAATGACAACAGTCACCATTTGTCTTTATCCTACCTGGAATGGGTCACAAAGTCATAAACTGGGATCTGAACAGTCTTTCCCTGCAGGATGAGTCTTAATGTTTGCATGATCAGCTCGTTGTCAAAGGCATCTAAAAAGAAAACACAGTCAAGTAAATTTAAAATGTGAACATGCATTTCACTTGACACCAGTGTGGACTCGACACGTGGGTCTCGTTCTGGTAATCAAGGAATCTCTCGTGGCAGGTGCCTGCTTCAGTCACAGCTAAGGCAGCTGCCTCTGGAAACAGCCTGCTGACCATGTGCATTTAAAATGAGCCATGAAAGGAAGTTGTTACATGAGGGTCAATGTATGGTTCCAAAAAAGGGGCTGCAGTTCTGCCAAAATCTTGACTATGAATGCAGCAGTTGAAGTTGGCCACGAGCCATCAACTAAGCTCCCACTACTTCAGATATTGGATACATGCCATGCCATAACTAGCATGTGATGTCTGTCATCTTGTATGCTGGCATAATCGTGACACTTCCAAAAGTACCTGGATGGTCAAAGTTGTACTGGCCCTTTAGTGCCTTGGCCTTTTGGTCAGGAGTCAACACTTTGTAGAAGCTGTCCTGGCTGAGAATAGCCACCTGCCTCTGGGTATGGTCAATCTTGTTCTGTCCCAGCATTTCCATGATCTTCTCACACACAGATGACTAAAAGAGAAGATAATGGTTAGAGTCAAGTACCATTTGACTCACATCCATGCCCTCATCAGTACCATTCATTCATCAGTGATGGATATTCAACATCTTGAGACTATCACTTGTTTTAGTACCCAGTAGATTTTTAATTAAATGCTAATGCCATTTTGGTCACTTTTTTTTAAATTGCCAGCTAGACAAGGACTACATTTATAAACAAAATAATAGTAGCTAAATCAATGGTAAAAACAAAACAGTCTTTTCCCACCCATATGAGGGGGTTGAGGAAGCAAAACAGCCTACGTGCCAGTGCACTAATCAAAAAACAAAAGTTTGGAGGAGGGGCAAAAAGCAGAAAGGAAAATAAGACAATAGTCGGTGGAGCAGAATGTTATCAATATTTCTACAGTAATTTTAAATAAAATACATTTTGAGGTTTTATTATTTTATCTATATCTAACTCAAAGCTGAAACTCTAGTAGTCGAGGTCAAATGACCTACTCATAACAAAGTGGGGTGTTGCGTCCTCATGACAAATTTTCACGTTTGCAAGTCCTTCCTACGCCCGGTCATGGCACAGCAAATAAAACTAAATGAAGTCAAAGGCGGTTTAAATATGAAACAAACACGTGTACACGTTTTCTCGGATGTGGTTCGCCGGATGAGCGTCACAGATTTATAAATGTGTCTATATGATCTATTATAAGTGGCATTTTTATTACCATTAATCTGATAATAAAAGTAAAACGTTAACAATAAAATGAAAGCTTGGGTTCTTCTCCCACAATTGTCTTTTTGTTTACAAACACGTTCCGTGCCTAAGGCGTGCTGCCGCTGCTTTATAAATAGAAGCGCTGGATGGCGCTGGTTAGCTGTAGCATCCATGTTAACCATTGTCTAGCGGCTAGCCTCTGAAAGAATTCAGCAGTAATAATGTTATGGATATGACGGCACACTACAGCGTGATAAAGGCGATTAAGAGGATACGTTCATCATTTTGTTAAAAAAAATGGCCAAACCAGTCAGTCTGCGGTCAAACGCCAACCCTCGCCGCGACGCCGCTAAGGCCACGCGGTCGACTCCTCTACCCGGCAGATGACAGGGATTTTACCGTGATTTGTCTTAAATTATAAATGTCAACCGCCAGAAATAACCAGAATAGTTGGTTTAATTCTGACCTTGCCACTTGCGGTGCCGCCGGACACGCCGATTAAAAAAGGCTGACGAATAACGTGGGCATTCTCGGCCCGGTCCCTTAGATGTGCCTCAGTGTCCCCGGCCATACTTGCAATGTGCAGCTGGAGCTCCAACGAAGCAAGATCATCGGGCTAAGCCCCTCCCACATACGGAAGCTTTGCATTATGTTACTTATATTCAATCCTTTAAACACAGAACCAAATATATTAACGCATAATGTTATCATTGATTAACGATACATTTCATACTCAACTGATAATTTTACAACCGCGGTTAATCCGCGGGTCGGGCGGATGACGTGACGAAAAATTATATTTTAATTAAATTCGGGCGGGTGGCGGATTCACTACTCAAATAAAAAACTTTGAACTCGGAGCAAATGGGAGGAGACCGAGCGGATGGCGGGCGGGTGCTGTTTTGAAAAACTGTGGTTGCAAATGGATAGCGGCGGATGATGAGTTTTGCGATGCGGTTGCGGATGAAAAAGTAGCCCATCCGCGCATCTCTAGTCGGCGGCAAGGTGGGGCATTTGAGGGCCGTGCCCCCCCTAGCGGCCACTGGTGCCCCACCCCCCAACAGGCCGTTATTATTACTATTTTAAAATGATTTTGATTGGCGCATTTCACACATCACAGTCTCTGTTTATTTAGTGTAATGTGATTGGACAACTGTCCTGTCACTCACGGCACGTCACGTCAACCTGCTGCGTCAACTCGTAGCAGCTCCACGATTAGCGGCAGCTGCTACTTTAGCCTAAAGCTCCACACAGGAAATGGCGAGAACAGAGTGAAAGACACTGACAGACCCGCCGCTGGGACCTGGGACTGTCGATGCCCGGACTCGGGGCAGTCGCCGCTGGGACTCTCGCTGCCGCCGCCGGGGCCAGGGCAGTCGCTCGCTGCTCTATCCGCCTTTGTCCGCTCGTTTCTGGGTGTAAAAGTTTGACCTGAGCATAGCGCGCAGAGGCATAATTCTACCTGGTGTCCTGGTGCTGATATGGACTGACCGTAACTTTCAGATTTAAGTGGGAAGTGGGATTAAGACTAATTTTACAACCATCTTGTGCACTCGGCTCCCGGACCTCGCGTCACGGACCAGACTGGACCAGGATTTGGACCAGTTTCATCTCTTCATATTGGACAATAGACTTTTGGAAACAGAACCAGTGGGACAGTGGATAGAGGAAACATTCTGCTTCAGTCTCTGGAGAAGGTAAGAGGCTGGTTTTCATTAGTTTGCGGCAAATCTGAATTTGGAGCCTCACAGGTAAATAGTGTTATGGTGTTAATAGTTAAATAGTGTTATAGTGTTAATAGTTAATAGTGCGTAAATGAGCTGGTGGGTGCGATGGAGCTGCTCTGGTTGTTCTGTCGTGTGCTGTAGGAGCGGCATCTGTGTTCATGTCTCTTATTGTAGTTTTACTGACGTTGTTGGGTCTGGGTGTGAGCGGTGTGTTACGTTGTGTTGTTGCGTAAAGTTTGTGCTTGGCTGTTCATTGTGCTCTGATCGATACTGTTCAGCCAATACTAACCAAAATGTCTGTTTCTGGTATTTGTTGTAATACTACAGCCTATATATATATAATACATATATTATTCATAATATATATTTATAATTTTGCCCTTGGTGCTCCTCCCAAAAATTATACCATCAGCCGCCACTGGTCCTGGTTTAGTCCTGGTTTAGTCCTGGTTTAGTCCTGGTTTAGTCCTGGTTTAGTCCTGGTTTAGTCCCGGTCCCTCAAGTCTCAGGTCTCTATAGGACAGGACTGGACGGCGACTCGCGTACCACGTTCACTACAGCTCTGGTGCTGTCCGATGCGTGGCTATTTCTAGTTCAGAGGTGTTTTTGACGAGAGGCTGTTGTTTAATGTTTACAACCAGTGGCAGGACTTATTGTTTTTTAATAAACCTCAACCTTTTATTATTGTCTTGTGTGCGTATCGTCTACCACACAACCTCAACAACTATTGCAGCTAATAATAATAATAATCTTAATATAATAATGATTATAATAACAACACATAATTAGCCTAATACTGTTAAAGAAAAACGTGTTTGATAGCATGTCTGCTGTGTATGACTCCACCGCGTTAAAATATTTCTCAAATGGCAGTGCCCCCCCTGCTGGTGACCCATGCCCCTCCAGTAGATGTGCTCTGACGCCGACTCTGCCGACGTACTCTGACGCCAGAGCCGCTGTAGCTCCGGTCCCGCCCATAGATCTAAGAAGTACTAGCAGCAGAAAGCTCAGAGCAACTTTGTAATGTAACTGAAAATCCGCTATTTTATACTCATGACCGCATAGACGCACCGCAGGGTAAGTTTAACTGGGTCAAACAAAACTGCTTATTTCATGTACGCCGTTTAAACTTTAGATATTCAATGTTGTCAACTTGTTTGTGCAGCACAGTGTTTTGATCTGCTCGGGTAAAGAAGCGACAGATCCGATCTCGTCATGCTCTCGAGGCTGGCTTTGACTCTGCACCCCTGTCGTGCCGCGTCTCTGGGGCTGGTGAGAGGGGTCTCCTCGGGATCTGTAAACATCTCAGAGCCACTGAACTTCTGGGCTGGAGAGAGAAGATCTAGCACACAAAAAAGCAACGTGGAAAACGTATACGAACCAGCAACAGGCAAGACATTTTATTTCTGCAACATAGCTGTCGACTTTATTACCTCACACTGATCTTTGAACTCAACAAAAAATGCTTTGTTATTTCACCCCCCAACCCCACCCCCACCCCCACCCAGCCTCTCAACTCACACGTCTCTAGATAACCGAATGCTGTTGCTTTGTAGGACGTGTTTTGTGCCAGTTACACCAGTGTGGTCCTGAAGATGTCAACGAAGCTGTGAATAATGCCAAGTCAGCTTTCAACTACTGGAGCAAAATGTCTGGGATGGAGAGGGCCAGGATCTTAATCGAAGCTGCACACATTATTGAGGTAGTCTTGTAGTGGCCATAACATGTTTGAAGTCTTCTGTCTCTATATTAATATTTTGATAAAATGTTTTGTGCAGAGCAGAAGAGAGGAGATTGCACAGATGGAAGTTGTTAATAATGGAAAGTCCATTACAGAGGCTCGTTTGGATGTTGATTCTGCCAGACTTTGTATAGAATACTATGCTGGGTTGGCCAGCACCATGTCAGGTCTGAAATAATTTTAATATTTTGAAATGTTTCAACTCAGTCATCTTGAACTGCGGGTCAAACATGAGCCAAGACTGGCACATGTGAACAGACCAACTATGTTGCTCTATAGTTGCTCTTAGTGAATTGAAAAAGTGCCAGTTAGGCAATCCTTAAAAACTTGTTTTGTTTCAGGCCAACATGTCCAGTTACCAGGTGGATCCTTTGCCTACACTCGAAGAGAGCCTTTAGGGGTCTGTGCTGGCATCGGTGCATGGAACTATCCCTTTCAAATCGCTGCTTGGAAATCCGCACCAGCTCTGGCATGTGGTAGGCCTATTAAGGTTTTTGTTAACACTGTAATACATAACATTTAATGTAGATCACAGATATTTTGTAAAGCAAACTTTCAATGTCCCTTAAAGGAAATGCTATGATCTTTAAGCCATCCCCGGTGACGCCAGTGACAGCTGTGTTATTAGCAGAAATATATGCTCAAGCTGGAGCTCCGCAAGGGCTTTTTAACATTGTCCAGGGTGGACAAGAGGTGGGCCGACTACTGTGCCAGCACCCTGACATTGCTAAGGTGTCGTTTACTGGAAGTGTACCCACAGGCAAAAAGGTCTCAGTCTTTAGTTTAACAGTAAAGTCAATGCAATAGATTGTATGTTACCTCTAAATACCCCTTCTCTTTCTCAGATAATGGAAATGGCCTCTCAGGGGGTCAAACCTGTGACTCTTGAACTTGGAGGAAAGTCTCCATTGCTGATTTTTAATGACTGTGATCTAGAAAACGCAGTGAGAGGGGCTCTGATGGCCAATTTTCTCTCTCAAGGACAGGTATTGCTCTAGTCTTAAAGGAACTGTATGTACTCTGTGCTCTTAAAGTTTTAAAAGAGGTAATTACAACTGAATGTGGGTTGTCATCTACTTGCAGATAAAGGGCATACACATTTTCCTCATGCTCAATATAGGGAAAATATATACTGTAGCAGAGACACTGATTAATGATTTGCTGTAGATGCTGTGGTTTAGGTGGTGAGGATTCAGATCAGAAAGTCTTTACATTTTAACCAAATGACTCATGTGAGGCTCATTCTACTTTCTAACTGAATAAATTATTTTGAGAACCAAAAACACCAAATAACTTGGCTTTCATGTTCAGTGTTTTTGAATAGAAGTATTACAGTAATAGCTATATATGATTTGAACATGTCTACCTCATATCTGGAGACACAGTTGTTTTCTTACATATGGTCCCTTTTTAAAATTGTAGTCGTTTAGTACTATTTTTCATTTTTGCACAAATGTATTTGTTTATGTAACTGTTACAGGTGTGTAGCAACGGAACAAGAGTTTTTTGTTCAGAAAGATATTGTGCCAGAGTTTGTGGAGGAGGTTGTGAGGAGGACTAAATCAATAGAAATCGGTGACCCATTGCTGGAGACTACTCGAATGGGAGCACTGGTCAACCGACCGCACCTAAACAAAGTGTTATCCTATGTCAATCAGGCAAAGAAAGAGGTATTTTATCAAGTCATTGTTATGGTTTATTTATGATTCTAAAAAAAAAACATCCATCTAAAATATCTGATTTTGAAGGGAGCAAATGTTTTGTGTGGAGGGGAAGTGTTCGTCCCATCGGATCCCAAACTTAAAGATGGATACTACATGACTCCATGTGTACTCGGTTGGATCAAAAAGAATACATACATTTTCCAATGCCCATACAATGAGTCTAAACTTCAGTGTTTTTTTTTTTAGGAATCTGCACTGATGACATGACGTGTGTGAAGGAGGAGATCTTTGGTCCTGTCATGTCTGTGCTGTCATTTGAAACAGAAGAGGAAGTACTACATAGAGCAAATGATACTAGTTTGGGCCTGGCTGCTGGAGTTTTTTACCAGGTAAAACAGAAAGAATAATTTAAAATTGTCTTGTGGATGGATGATCAATTACCACCCATTTTATTATGGTCTTAGGGATGTGAGAAGAGCCCATCGGATAGTTGAACATCTGAAGGCTGGTTCCTGTTTCATCAATAATTACAACATAACTCCTGTGGAAGTGCCTTTTGGAGGTTTTAAGATGTCAGGTACAAACTACTGATGATTTAATGGCAACAAATAATCTGCATTTATAAATCCCCTAATAATCTTGTATTTTGTACTTTTCCAGGCATTGGGCGAGAGAACGGACAGGTCACAATAGAGTACTACTCACAGCTAAAGACTGTTTTTGTGGAGATGGGAGATGTGGACAGCCTTTTCTGAAAAACAGATTGCAATTAGTGAACTATTGAAACACATTTTAGGTCTGGGAAAATACTTGAAGTACTTGATTTTTGTCTGAACAATTAAGCCACTATTTACTGTTATGTTGAAGTAGATGCTCTTAATTACTATGATTGTAATTTTAAATATTAGTGCACTATACAACTAGCTACATATTTATTTACATATACCGTAAATAATTTCACTGTATAGATCACCAATCTTAATTTTTGAAACAAATATTTTATTCAAAACATGTAGTGAATGATACATGTACTCTTTTGTACATAACAGCAAAATGCTTGACCTCTTTTTAAACAACATAAACATATTTTATTAAATCCTTACTTTACAATATAATAAATATGAGATCAAATGTTTACAACAAAGCAATGATAATTTATCAATAATCACTATAGAAACATTTTAGATTATTCTTTTCCTTTTGGCCTGTGTCTTGCCCATTGCCTTTCTCTGTGAAAAAAACAAAAACATAGATTTTAATGTGGCCATTTGTGTGCCTTTGCTAACTGCTACAGTTTTTTATTTCTGTTTTACCTTTGCCAGAGGCTGTGTGGGCTTCTTGAACTGCGCAGACTCTATTTTGAATGAAGAAGAATTATGAACATTGAAGTAATACATTTAAGATAAACTAGAAGTACTTTTGTATACCATCTTCTGAAGGGACATCCTCTTCGTCAATTTCCTTCTTTTGATAGTCCTGTTGGTTTATATACCAAACATTAAAACAAGGTCTGTGAAGTTTACAAATAAAAAAATATTTGTGTACAGACCATTTTGACATTTTTCTCAAGTTTGCTGTCTCTCAGGTAGTTCCCTTCTTGAAGCTTGGCCAGTCGACCTTGTTCTGCAGAGACACGCACCCTCAAAGTGTGGAAAGGTGTCTGCACATTGCCAACCTGAAGAAATGCAATGACTGCAGAATTAGTTCAGGTTTTCTAATTCAAGACTTCAATCGCTACCAACCTTAAAGTGAATGGCAGTGCCTTCAAACCACAGACTGTCACATTCACCCTCTTTAAAGCCAGGGGGTTCATAGTCCTCAGGAGTCACTATAACAAGACGTTTATTCTCATGTTTGTTTGTTAACATTGCAGCATTTTATCTACTGGTTCTTGAATATTAGGTCACTTACTGTCATCATAGTAGTAAAGCTTCATGGTCAGGTAGACATTGTTGGGGAGGGAGCCTAAATTCTGCATAAGCAAAAAGAGCTTTCTGATGAGCAGCACAGATGCTCTTTTGGTGTCCTCTAGAGTCACCTGCATCCGCACAGCATTGTTCCTATAAAATAAGACATGAAAGGGATTAATTGTATTAAATGATCAATGACTGCATAAAACAATGCTTATGTGTGTCTTCAAACCTGAGGATGTTTAGCTCTGGGCCCTTTTCTGTATACTTAAATTTAAACTGGTAGGACTCAATTATGCACTAAAAGAAACAAGATGCTTTTGATTGAATGTATGTTAATTTTATTATATATACTATTAAAACACTTACATTGGGATCATCAGGGTTTGTGTAGACCTACAATTGTCAAAGCAAAATTGTTAACCATTATTACATAGTATGTTATAACATATCATGACCTTTTTATAACTTACCCCAATAAACACAATCTGGAGCTTAACAAGACAAAAGAAATAAATTTATATTTTGCAAATCCCTTATTTCTACAAAAAAAAAAAAAAAAACTTACATATTGCTTTTCTAATGCATCAAAGCAGCCCATCATCCTGAAACATGGAGATTTGAAAGTTGTTGGGGTTTTTTTTTTAGAAAAAATTGGTATTATTGTATATGTGCTATCTTCAGGCAAAATTACCATTTCACAACTTTGTTTGCTCCAGGGGTGCTGCAGTCTTCACGCAAGACTTTAATGCACAAATCTGTTGGTATAAAAAAATGAAGTAAACACGTATAAATAAATGAACGCCTTGATGTGTGTTCAGCAGTTGGAGATTGATCTATTTCATATTTCTCTTTACCCTCCAAGTATCTGGACCTGTAGGCGTCCTCTGGAAAAATACCCCGGAGATAAGTGATGGAGGACACGGCCACAGCCATCATCCTCTTCACAAACACAAGCGACGCCTGCTCGGTCTTCAAGTCGCCTTGAAATAACCCTGTCCACTTTGAGAATACATAGTGTGTTATTCATTACAAAAACAAAAACGTAACAGCTTTTACACAGTCGTGAGTCTGAAAGCCACATGATGGCGCAATTAGCTAGGGCGAGACAAGACCGAAACATGACCAAAAATGTACATCTATAGCTATTAATAATGATTTTTACGTGATCTCTAGAAAAAAACAAACAAAAAAAAAAAACATAAGTTTGTATCTATTATATTACTTATTGTAAAACTTGCCTCTGCTGTTTCCTCTTTGCTTTTCTTAATGCGCGTCTTGCTAGCAGACATTTTTACTTTTAATATTAACGCTACCTCGGTTTGTAAAATAAATTATACCGTAATAACAATATACTATAATAGCAATAACTTAAAACGTTAAGCTGTATATACAAAAAAATGTCTCAAGCTGCACCTAATAAATTGCTGATCAGCACCATAATTGTAATTTTGCGTTTTCTTTTTTAATCTAGTGCTGAAAATTCCCGCCGTCGGAAGATGCGTTCAAAAGTGCACAGATCCATAGTTATTTTGAGTGATATGCACTTTAAAACACATCGAAATAAAGCAATCACTGTCTTGAATGATTGTCTGCATAAACATTTATTTAGTTGTTAGCTTCTATCAACATTTAAAAGCCTTTCTTATTTCCACAATCCCCGCACATAAACTTTTCACTAAAAACATTACTAAAGGTTTACATTTTCCTTTTTATTCCAAGTGTTTTGTAAAATGAAATTTTAAAAAAGTTGAACAATAATAAATAATACAATTTATTACGATAGCAACCTGGGTGTCTTGTGGTCTAACTTTAAACAATACAAAACATATAAAACATTACATTAGACGTTTAAAGAAGTAATTTTCTCTAGACAAAAATACATTACTGCAACAAACATGAATATTGAAATGATGTTACAGCAGGCAGCAGATCCTGACCTTGGGCTTATTACTGCTTGGAGAAAAAGTCTTTACTCTTTTGGATGTCTGGTTTGATGGTGTCACTTCCTGGTTTCCAGCCGGCAGGGCAGACTGAAAAGATAAGCTGGTAATGAGTTCTGGCCCAGAAGACAAAACAGCAGACATGTGCTAGTATCATTTAAACAGATAGAGAGTAGCAAATGTAAGAAGCCTATAGTATCAGGACTATATCATTAGGCTATGAATTTGTTGAATGTTTGGAATTTTTTGGATTGTTTTGCAACAGTTGTTTGTACCTTCTCCATATTTGTCGGTGAACTGAAATGCTTGGACCAGGCGCAGGGTTTCATCAACAGAACGACCAACTGGGATGTCATTTATAGTGATCTGCCTTAGAATACCCTTGGTGTCAATAATGAAAAGTCCCCTAAAACACACATAGAACACAATTAGCTCCCAGGCAGAATTATAATGACAAAGTAACTCAATGTAAGTAATGTAAGCAGAAGTGCAGAACCTGTAAGCAATGCCCTCATCCTCCTTCAGAACGCCATAATCTGTGGAAATTGTACGCCGTGTGTCAGATACTAGGGGGATCTTCATTGCACCCAGACCACCCTGCTTTCGTGGTGTGTTGCACCTGTAACACAAATTTTTGATTTCAACAATCTTTTATAATAACTGTGTGCATTGCAGATTAGTCTATTAATTTAGCAAGAGAGAGTAGTTTGAACATACACAAGAGAAACAACCCTAAATGTTTTTGCCAAAACACTGTTTGCATAATTAATTGCTTTGAAATGTTGACTGTAGAAAAATAAAATCACAAACTAAAGCCTGACATTTACAACAGCTACACATTTGTCATGTTTTCAACATTTTATGAAGATAATGTACATAATGTTAACAGTCAGTATCCAAAAACGTAATAGGTACAGTGAAAATAATAAATTATATTTCTCACACAATCATTTCCATGGACTCTTTTTGATTATATAAAAATTCAAAAATAAATCTGATATCCAAATATCGCAGATTTTGGGTTGCAATCTACTGTTTAGTTTGATGTTAAATTGTTGTCATTTGTTTCATTCACTGCCACTGCCATGATACTTGCCATGCAAAGTGTGAGAAGTGTGAGTCCGTGGAAGCAGCAATGACTTCACAGTCAATCTTCCTGAATTCATCTGCAGCGTCACTGAAGGCAATGATTTCAGTTGGACACACAAAGGTGAAATCCAGTGGATAAAAGAAAAACACCACATATTTTCCTGGTAAAAGGTGAAATCTTGTCAGTATCAACATGAAATGGTCTGTTTAATTAGAATCTAATTATGTGCAGTCTTTGTGGTGCAAATGTTGCCAGTTTACCACCTCACAATTGACTGCACGTCTGGGTAAAGCATATCCATAAGTTGTGGTAGCCTACCTCTGTAATCAGACAGCTTGATGTCCTTAAAGTCCATGTCTGGCATTACTGCTTTGGCTATGAAATCAGGGGCCAGTTTTCCAATTTGTGCTTTTCCTGCAGACATCTTCAACCTAATGAACGATCATAAAATAATTATTCCACAGTGACAAATTATGAACACTGATGGTTTCTCTCGGATAATAGTCTGCATTAATGCATTAACTGCATTATTTTTTTTTACATAGTAATAAAGATATAATATATTTGTGTAATAATAAATATGAGGATGATTCTAATATTCCAAAATATTCATAATGAGTGTGATTTAGGCTGTATGTATCCTCCTGATGTGTGGGTGCTGGTCTACACCTACTCATAAATTAACTGTGAAGAAAATCCACAATAAATTAACAGACTACAAGCAATATGATAAAGAAATCTGTTGAACATAATCTAACGTTAATAAAGCTTACAAATGTAAACATTTCTACAGATTAAAAAACACAGACACACAAAACTAAAACTTACTTTTCCATCACTACTGTGAAAGTTACGCACCTCGCTTTTTGCTCGCTGCGTCTGAAAGAGTGGCTAGAAGTGGAGTGCGCATTATTCATCCAGATGAGAATTTATACTAAGCTGTAACCCAAGTTCTCGCGAGAGGAAGAAGAAGACGATCGTGGACCACTTCGGTTCAGCCCAGGCTCACACACAGACACCACACGCCCCAGATACCATACACAACATGACTTTGCACATTTTTCTAAAGATTTTTAATCTTTATGAAACCACATCGTGTCACAGAACAAGGATGTACAAAATCATTTGGCTAATGTTTTACAGGCTTCTCTAACCCCACTTCCCAATAAAGAACAAGGACTAATCTAATCTTGAAGCTATAACAAATAAATTGACTAATAAATATAGAATGTGTGACAGAAAACCTACCTTGAAAAAAACAATATCAAATACTTAGTGTGTCCTATTGAGGATCTATGTGTAAATAAAAGGTCTGGTGGCTCATCCTAACCTGTTAGAAATGCAAAGAAATATTCACTGTATTACCCACCAGTCAAAGCCCTCAATCGGCCCTGTTTCATCTTTTTACTCGTGGCCCTTGATGAAAAGTTTGAGTTTCAACTGACCATACTTGAATAAAATTAATAATAATAATAATAATACGTTAATTTGTTCTGACAGACATTGAAATTCATACTCATTTGTGTTATTTAAATAGACCCAGTAATCCATTTTATTTGTATAGCATATTTTAGAAAACCAGTAAAATTTTAAAAAAGAATGCGTAATAAAAATATAAATAAATACAACTCCTGTGGTGTTAAAAATCAGAGGATTAAAGTGGGTCTTAAGAGGAGACCTATGACACTCCACTGTGGGGACTATTTGGACATTTTTCAAGTAAGCCTAAATTCAGCCACTCTGATATGTCTATTCTTTCAAGGAAGTTTAAACAACAGGTCTGGCTTTGACAGCCACAGTTTAATTGCATTTTTGTGCTTACTTCCTTCTCACAGTGTGCATTCTGTGACTCAGAGTGAGTCTTACACCATAAAATGACATGTAAAAGGTGTTTCCAGTTAATTTCTGTCATGTCTGTCATGATATGTACATGATCTTGGAGAGTTTCTAGTTTCTATTGATGCCCCTAAATAGATTTATCTTGTTTCAGTTGTCAATTTCTGCCTGTTGCTTTCATATTATATGTTTGTAACCAGTTTGAAGTGTTAACTAAAACACAGGCTACTGGATTATAGATGAGACACTAAAGGGTAAGAGAAGAGAAAAATGGTTTTGATAGTCTATTATGTGCCATTGTTTGCAGTTTTCTTTAGATTTTAATAAATGATATGAAATCTAAAAACCAACAAAGCAGAACAGAAAGGTGAAATGAAACTGTTGGACAGTTGCGTGTCGACTATAAACAGCCAATAAAAAAACAACAGTTGTTTTTGATAAATAAAATGCATATTTGTGTCCCAATAGAGTCTGACCTGAACAATATTTTGTGTAGGACTAATTTGCTTCCACCTCTTGTCTCATCTCTGAGCAGTCGCTATAGCAATGTCCCTGCGTCTCCTGGGCAACCATCCCATCAAGGGCCCGATAAGAGAAGACACAAATAATGCCCTCAGAGGCTCAGCAGACGGCCGCTGATCAAATGGCCCCATGCAGGCTCCGTGTCACTGTCACACAATAACCTCATAATTAAAGCATGAATACAGAAACATGTCTGAAGTACGATTCAAAAGATTGTATTTGCACCTGTTTCCTCAAATTGTAGGCTCATAGGCCGACAGTAAAATCAGATAGCAGGGGAGAGAATCCTGTGCCTATATATATACCTGAATATCAAAGATGATTGGTTTCCAAGCCCAGACTTGTCTTTCTGAAGAATCCTCTGTCAGGAGGAGCTCAGGGGGTCCTGTGCTGTGCCATATGCTGATCATTCACAGCAGGACATGATTGCTATTCACACGTGAAAGACTTAGGTAAGCAATAGAGCAATAAATAAATAAAGCAATAAAACCACACAAAATCAAATACATGCTAGACAGGTAACTGATACTGTTTGGAACATTCCTGGAAAAGCAAAAACATCTCCACAGAAACAAGCAGACTGCAGACCTCCTCCAGTAATGTTCCTTAGTGTACCTTTAATTTAAACAAGAATATCTTAAAATGTACTATGTCTTTACGTGTTTTTATTCTTTACTTTTTAATTACTTCTAAAATGCTAAGTTTAGAAGTTTTACTAATATAAATAAGCAATAAAATATACACAGCTGTCCCTTTAACGACTCTCCCGCGCTGGACAACGGAACCGGAAGTGTCTCTGAAACGTATGAATATTTCGCGCCAAACTCGTGAAACAAAGCATTTCTCCTGAGCAGCCGAGGAGGACGCAGGCTCATCGCAGCATCGCTTTTCATTTTATTCAAGTAAGTGCCGTCTTGAACTTGTGATAAAGTACCATATCATTTTCAGATAAGATTGAATAACAATCAATAATCCTGTTTTAGCTTTCAGTTTGGCTGGTAACATGGAAGAGGCAAACAAGTTAATTGGCCAGGGCAAGAAGCACTTGGTAATGGGGCAAGTCGTGGAGGCGGTGAACACGCTTCAGGAGGCCTGTGGCATGCTGTGAGTCAATTTAGACATTTGGACCTTTGCAAATGGGTTTGACCTCACAGCCCCTTTTTAGTGTGTAGGATTCAAGTACAAGCTCTATGAAAAGAGACTGAATGTCATTATTTGGACCTATTGCTTACTAAAATAAGTAACGTTAATTAAGGTCTCATTTTAATTTTTTAAATTTTTTTTAAGGGCCAAGAAATATGGTGACACAGCAGATGAGTGCGGTGAGGCTTTGTTCTGGTGTGGTAAAGCGCTCCTGGATTTGGCACGGCAAGTATATAATTTTATTACTACGCTGGATTTTAATGGATTTTCTTTTCAGCATAATTAATGCCTTGATTTGGTGTTTTAGGATGGAGAATTCAGTCCTTGGTAATGCTTTGCAAGGAGTTCCAGAGGAGGAAGAGGAGGAAAAACTTAAAGACTCCAATGTGGAAATGGAAAGCACTGAAAATCTAGATGGTAAACTCTTTCAATGTAACCAGTGGGTGATTAGTTTACTTTTATAAAAGAAATGTTGTGACTTAAAGTTGTCTTTGTTTTTGGGCATAGAATTCCAATGGCTTTTGTTGTTTATGATTTAAAATCTAAAACCCTTTGGGATAATTAATATCAGGATTCATATTGTATCATAATGTGCTTGACAATACCCAACTCTAGTGTTTAACTGTTTCACTGCATAAATATGCTAAAACTTTTTTTTCCACTTTCTTGTATTTCATTAGTAATTTAAAAACGTATTTTTGTAATTGTAGAAAAGACCAGAGATGAGTTGCGGGTTCAGGTCTATGATGCCATGGCAGAGAAGAAGGAAGAGGCTACAGAAAAAGATGCAGATGGCAAAAAAGCTGAATCTACAACAGAAAAAGCAGATGATGCCAAAGAGAAAACCGATAACACTTCAGAAATTACCAAAGATTGTGCCACAGAAAAGGAAAATGAGACTTCAGCAGAGAAACCAGATGCTCAAATTGTTGCTACTGAAGAGAAAGCTGAACAAGACAAAACTTCATCTTCCATTAAGGATGACTCCAGCAAAGACTCCAAAGAGAAAGATGAGACTGAGGAAAAAACAACTGAGAGTGATGAGAACAAGGAGAATGTAGCAGCAGAAACTGAAAATGAAGAAGCAGAGGAAGGTGAGGCTATGCTTTTTTTTTTTTTTTTTTTTTTTTTTTTTTTTTTTTTTTTAAGTCTGTATTTTAAACACACTAAATGCTCTGGTATAGGGTCTGCCACTTGCTTGATGCCAGTGCTTGGCCTGAAATTTTCAAAAATATGGAATTAAATACTTCAGTGTTGTACTTAATTTACTGGTATTCTATCGCTTTAAAATGCCTCAACCCGATTTTAGGCAAAGTGATAACATCTCTATGGAGACCAGCAGCTGATGGACTCCCATTAAAAATTAACTGGTTGCACTTTTTAAAAATTTTGTTTAGAAGCAAATGCTGATGAGGAAATGGAGGGCGATGAAGAGGCTGAAGAAACTGAAGGTGATGAGAAGGCTGATGGCGAGGACACTGCTGAGAAGGTACTGAGATGTGCTTAATCTGTGCATGTGTTTTATTTTTTAAAAAGGAAATAAGGATAACTTTTGTAATCCACTTGTTAGGGAAGTGATGATGAAGAAGTTGGGAATCTGCAGCTGGCTTGGGAGATGTTAGAAGTGGCTAAAGTCATCTACAAAAGGTTTGTCAATTTAAGAACTACTTCACTGGGAAAATTTACTTGAATAAACTTTTTTAATCTAATTAGAAAAGAGACCAAAGAGGATCAGCTCATGGCTGCCCAAACTCATCTAAAACTAGGAGAGGTCTCTGCTGAATCAGGTAATTTTCCTAATTTAAAACACAGTTGACGGGATTTATCCGTGTCTAATATGCTGTCTGCATATGTTTGTAGGAAATTACACACAGGCAATTGAAGATTTCCAAGAGTGTCTGAAACTGCAGCTAAAGCACCTGGAGTCAGATAGCCGTCTTCTGGCTGAGACTCATTACCAGCTGGGACTAACCTATAGCCTAAACTGCCAGTACAAACAGGCCATTGATGAACTCAACAGCTCCATCTCAGTCATTAAGAGCAGACTGGGTAAGCGGACTGTTACAATAACTCAGGTCTATCATATTTAATTTCAACATGCGGCTTTCTGCAGAGAAACTACAGGAATTGATGGACAAAGCTGAGGGCCCCGATGCTCTTCAAGAAGAGCGAAAGGAAATGGACGAGCTTAAAGCTCTGCTGCCTGAAATCCAAGAGAAGATAGAAGACGCTACAGAGGGTCAGAAAACTGCCACTACAGATGCAGAAGCAGTCAAGGGTGTATTGGTGAGTTATTACGTTTAAAGGAAAGTGGGTTTTGTTACTGTAATATCAAAATTTTTACCAGGATGGAAATGCTGCTCCTGAAACTGGTGACAAGCTTACCTCCACAAAGGTGATTTGTTGATGTAGGTTTTTGAATAGTTTTTGGAATGTTCTATAATTGCTTTGTCCCATAGGCTAATGGCACACCAAGTGAACAGACCACAGCAACTGACATCTCACATTTAGTGAGGAAAAAGGTAAGACAAAAAGGAATGAAAAGCTTGAATGAAATTGAATGTGACAAAGCTGTGTCTTTCAGAGGAAACCAGAGGAGAGTCCAGTGAAGGAGGTGAAGAAGGTGAAACAAGATGAAGCGGAGACCAATGAAGTCCACCCAAATGGTCACACAAACGGACATAGTAATGGCATGGAGGTGGAGAGGTGAGATGAAACAAATGTGGTCTGCATCTTTAAACTGCATAGTTTTAATTGCGTTGCTCAAATCACATTATCTTTTTCAGTAAGTGACTGTGCTCTTTCCACGTTGCCATACCAACCTGAATTCATCTTTTTTTGCACGTCTTTGACATTTGTAAATGTGTTCATATTTCTGCATTGCCTTGAATAAATAAACTTAATACTTTTTATATCATTTAAAGTCCTGAGTCTCATGTTGTAGCACGGGGTTCTGGAACATAAATCTCAACTTTTTCCAACAATAACACTGTATGAAATGCATTTAATTTAGCATAAAAATATTTTCAAGAGAAATTGTTTGGCTAGTATCAATTTCCCTCTGATGTCAGATATATTCCTTTGCAAGAAACACATTTGTGGACTGTAAAGGGGTTTATTTGGATTTTTAACTATTGCTTCACTTTTTTCTTTCCCCTTGGTGCTCTAGTGAAACTGGACAATTGACCCTCTTGGTGTTTCATTTGATTACCCTTTTTTTGCACTTTCAAAGTGGCTGTAAGTTTGAATTGACTGAAGCCTTTGAAAAAATAGAAGGGAATCTCATTTTGCTGTACATCCAAGCTGTAATGACTTCAGAAAGGAATCAAATCTATTAGTTTAACTTCGATAACCAAACTGCTTGCTTAGCAAAATTCTTTGTGCTGCTGTTCCAGACGGGATTAGTCTGAGCTCTGAAAAACATCTTCCGGATCATAGTGAGCGTCCCCAAATGTAAAACTGCACTTAGCATATTTGCCTGGTACACTATCAGACTTCCATGTCCTCACCTGGAGGAAGTCTGTCTCTTGGTATGGCATACATGCAAATGTAATTAGAATATATTCTAACTTGCACAGCAACACTTTGTTCAGCCATGTTTGCATGGCTGAATGGTATAGTATGTTGATTTTAGAATGTTCAGATGATCTAATGTCTATTAAAAATATACATTTAACATTTCAAGTATTTAAACCAACCTGCTCAGGGACTACAGATGTAAATTAGCATTCGTGCCATAACCTGCCACCAGCATCAGCTTTGTTGTAACACTGTAAAAATTAAAAAAAAAACAAGCATACCCTTTCTGTAGAACCAAATAAAAACCAAACACCACAGGAGCCAGAGTCATACTGAAACAGCTTTTCGGGAACCAATTTATTAATATCATTAATGTGTCATCAGCATCATCAATGAAATGAGTTAGTCTGTTTAAAGCAGAATCACGTGTGCATTCATTGCCCTTCTTTTCTTGACAAACACTTCAGTTCAAAAGCAGGAAGTAAAGAAGGAAGGGGAGGGGCCTTAGGGCAGGGCTGCAGTGAAGGAGGTAATGCAGGGAAAGTGACATCTGGCAGAGCAGGAATCTCCCCCCTTCACTGGGATATGATTGGTTTTCCCTTGTGCAAGAACAACAAAAATCAAAAGAAATTCAAATGGTGCTCTAAAAACAAAGATGAGAGGAAGTGGGCATTGCATGTTGAGATGCTGTTGGCTGCCAAGTTTTGTTCCATAAAGCCACGTTAGGATTTGATGCAGTCATCATCGTCGGAGGTCTGGCTGCTGCTACTGGTATCGGACTCGGACCCTTCTTCCACATGCGCCTCCGCGACACTCCTCCAGGGGGTGAAGTGGAGGGTCACACCCCGTGCCCTTGGAAGAACCCCATTCCGCTGAATGCCATTTTTCTTCAACTAAGAAAAAATAAAATAGACATAGGTAACCTCATCAACCTGATGAAGGACTAAAGATGGAAATAACCCAAATTAGCTATAATCTTTAAATATAAATATGTAAGATTATATTAATATGTGCCTCCACTCTTTCCACTCACCTGTTCAGTTTTTGTCTGGAACTCTTTCAGCTCATCCTCAGTCAGAGGCAGGAAGTTGTCATCATTCTCTGGATATTCCTGCCAACCCATAGCTTTCAGCAACCTGTAAACATCAGTGACACATTTACCTCAGTGATGCTTACTGTCATGTTGATAAACATCTAACCATGTGCAGTGAGGTACCTGTGCTCCGCTTCCAGGGAACTGGACAAATGTTCAGTGTCTGAATCACTCAGAGAGTAGGACAGACCATTCTCATGGACCTCCTCACTGTAGGCTTTAGGCTCTGGGGTGCTGCTCTCTCCCTGTCAAATAAACACAAATAATTTTGGTGGACAAGTCCATTTGTCTAGTAATTCAATATAAAATATGGTCTCAGATAAACTATTATAAATAAAAGTATCTAATAAAAGTACTAACCTCTCCTGATGTTCCTGGGCTGCTGCTCGTGGTCAGCTCTCCAGTGCCCTCGTCTTTGAGAGCTCGCAGGAACTCACTTTTGCGATCAGGACCACGGCGCATCAGCTTCAGCCTCGATGGAGCGATGTCTATGGGAGGTGTGGTGCTGGAAGGGTGCTGCTGCTGTACAAAACAATTATGACATTTTTATAAGCTTGTGTTATGTACAGTGCATTGTTTGGCTATTCACACAACTAAGATTATACTGATTGTATTTCTGTAATCACACTCAATACTGTGTTTAAGAACACATTTAACCTCAATTGAAGTGTGATAGGTGCTCACTTCTTTTGGGGCGTTGTGTTGCGGGGCACTGTTGGGGGTGCTGGGTTTGGCTGCAGAGACGGGGCTGGTGAATACAGAATCTCGGCCTGGCACGTGAAGGCCAGACTTTGTGATCTCTCTTCCTCCAGCTTTCCACTGGGTGCTCTGTGGGGACGCATACAGACTTACTCCACTGTGGGAACCTGCGCAACTCAAGACATTCTTCACTGTCTGGATGAATATTTTGTGAATGCATTGGGGTCTTACTTTGGTGGGGGCCATGGCGGGCTTTGGGACCAGGTTCTTGTAGACACTGGAGCCAGCGATGGGGGCCTTGCTGCCGTTGGGCAGGGTCCCAGCAGTGGCAAAGCCTGCAGAAAAGGCAGTGCTGGGGTCCTCCTTGGAAACCTTCTTGATAACCAGCATCTTGGAAACCATCTGTTTTCCACTTGGGGGGTTTTCTGGAATTCATACCATAGCCATTATCCAACATTGACAAGATGCTTTTTTTTTTTTCATTTCATTATACTTACCCCAGACTCCAGCATGTGGCGGTACTGCTCGCGTTTGAGTCCCAGGCTTTCCAGTTGTTTCAGGGTTGAGGGAAGGCTACAAAAACATGGAAGAACAAAGAATAAAACAAATACCCCATAGAATAGAAAAACTTCAGTATTTTACAATATTTTGCTATGAATCACACATGAATGGTTGAGGGATTACATACACATCTTGCAGCCAATTAGCATTTGGAACAACTTTTAGATTTTAAAATCAAAACCAAATAGGGAAAACAAGTCAAAGCTATTCTGTAGGTATAAGAATACCACACCCCAAGATTAGTCACCAACAAATGATATCAAACCAAAATACAAAAGTGTTTTGCTGAAGAAACATTATAGCGAGGCCAAAAACTAAAAATCTAATTAACCATAATATTCAGAAAGTTAGTTTAAAGATATGATCTGAATATATCTGAATACTTCATAGTAAAATAACAAAACATTTAATCTGCTGCAAAGGGGGATGATTAAAATTGAAAACTTAACAAACTTATTAAGTATAAAGGCATATTTCTGCAGCTTAGGGGGTAATTTCACAGTCTTATCACATTTTTCTGATGCTTACATTTTAAACAAATACCCTTATAAACATGCACATTTCAGTTGAATTGAAGTTTCTATCAATGATCCACTCCGAGCTCAGTGAAAGTCCTTAAATATTTAGTGCATTGTATATTTGTATAGAACTATTATTCTGACAGATATGCCAAACAAGTACACCACTTATTCTGAAAAATGTAACATGTTTTTATAATTCCAGACTTCCAGGTGGAGCCAATGGATTACAGTCAGGACTAGAACAAATGAACTAAATTTTAAGAGTGGTAGGATGACCCATTTTGTAAGATGATCCCTTTTTCTAATAATTTCATGTGACTTACAAAATCCTCTTCCACAAACTTGAGCTTGTCATCCTTGTTGTCTTTGCGTTCCTCGTTGGGAAACTTGTCCTGATACGAGGTGCCCTTGCGAGGGTGGAAGTTGCCATTGCGCTGCCTGTGCCCCGTCTGCCTGTCCCTTTCACCTGCTCCCCGTTTGGGTTGGCGTCCCTGATGATGGTGGCTATCCTGGGCTCCTCGTGGGGCTCCATGCCAATTAGGGGTCTCCTTCCAACAGGAGCCCCCCACAAGACCCCCGTGCCCCCCTTTGGCCACCCCGGAATCCACAGAGTCATGCCTCAGAAGCTGCTGCCACCCATCACCTTTAAAGAACAAAAAGAAGAAAAATTAAACAAGGCAAAATTACTGAAGCAAAAACATAGGCCTGACATCTGCCACCTGTAGCTTTAGAATTGTATGGCATTAAGCATTTTTGCTTAATGCCATACAATTTTGGTTAGGACAAGAAAATAATTGCAGCTTTATATCATTTAATTATTGGATTATTATTTTGTATTATACAAGGTCGCCCATAGTTAATAATATCAAGGTCTGAAATATCAGGAATGGCTCCTGTTTGGGATGGGACTGGAAGAATGCAAAGTCAATCAAAGCAGCCAATTATCTTTGTGTTTTTGGCTGAATGCGTGTATGTGTCTACTGTTTTTTTACTCTTACTACTTAAATACAATATTTTTTTATTGTTTAAATTAATACAATATTTTTGTACATAGATTTAAGACATATGTTTTCTCCTGTACAACAAGTTGTCTGGGCTCAAACCAATCAGTAGGAAATAATTCAATCAATCAATATTTTCTAATGTAATCTGTTCTGTGTAAAATGTTTAACAGCCTGATGTGTATGAATGTATAGAATAGTGTTGTACAACAAAGAACAAATTTACACTTTGGAGAACTAAACTACAGTTACTAACTAACAAACTACTATTTGTTTCCAGTTAAAAGCAGGTTTTAGTTGTTGAGATCCAATAATAGGTGTTGGTGAATGCATGAATCATCAAAGCAGCAGATCATCACAGAGATCACTATTGGATCTTAATATAGCCCAGCCCTACTCTGAAGGTTGCCAATCAGTGAAACAAATCTTAGACTACCAAGTGTTTCTGAATTAAATGAAGAAAGAAGTTGTACCTGTATTGCCCGTTGGAGCGTGCAGGGAGCCGTTGTTGAAGAAGCCATCAGAAGAGTTGTGGCGGCGGCGGCTCACAGACGTTCGTCCATCTCTGTGGTGAGGCTCGTTTTGTTTCTCGAGGTTTGCAGCAGGGGACTAGACAGGGATTCAAGGATTCAATACATCAGTTAAACAGTTTTGTTTGAATAACTTAATTTTTGCGATCACAGCGCATTCAACAATAAACAAATATTTTCATGCAGTGGATTACTAAATAAATTACACTCAGCTCAGCGCTAACCTTGATAGCTGCATGCTACAGGCTCAAAATTAGGAAAAATAATGCAAATTTTGCATGGAGATGTGAATTATCGAGGAAAACCCATTACCTTGGCGGGCTGGGGCGTGGAGAAATTAAGCCAGGCAGGGACAAAGTCATGCTGCGCCATTTAGGTCCAGTGTTTCCGGTCAGTGGAACGAGGCATCAAACCTCATGGCCAGGATCTGACCAAACATGAAAAAGTGAGGATTATTTACTGGATACTGGCACAGCTACAAGCATATTTTCTAACTGATGACACTGCATTGTAACTGACACAGTAATTATAGACCACAAGTCATAGCAGCATCTGTGATAGGTGATTGTGAACTTGTGAAGCAACAAAGAACAATATTATATGTACTGAAATGTTTAAATTATTGCAATATGACTAAATATGAACTGATATAGTCTGCTTTTCTGCAATTTGCACAATTCTAGCAAAAAAATCCACATGCGGACTAAGTTATAGGAATAATAGCTATATATAGTCATTAGTTACCCCAGAGTGCAAAGCTCTGAAGTCCTTTGCCTCCTCTCCTTCTGCTGGGCTTCGCTTCTCAGGCCGGTTGGCACTGGATGCGTAGTGGGTGCCGTTAGGGTTTGGTAGCAGCACAACCCAAAAATTTCCTCTCCAGCTTTGTCCAAGGTAATACTCCAATGTTAAAATCTTAAATCAAAATTCCCATCAGCTGACACTTCCGAATAAGGTGCGTTCTTCACTGGAGATTTTCCATTTGTTCTAATTTATCCCAATATCGATCGTCAAATGTAAGTGGACTTTGAGGTGACAAGACTTGAGGTGATCTAAAGATTGATTTGTCCTGATAGCGTGGAAGAGCGGAGTTGTTAAGTGTATGAAAATGCTATGCAGTGGAACTTGGACAGCAGTTCTTAGCAGTTCCTCCAGATGAAAGGATTGACACAGGTGTTGTCCTGCCACACTGTGTGCCAGTATTTGTCTGGTGTGACAAACCTATTACCGAATCATTGTAAGATTTACCGAACCAAAGATATAAAGAAAAAATATTTCAGAGACAGTCTTGAATAGGCAATGGAGGGCTCTAAAACAATGCTCACCTCATTTAACTGGTAAAATGACTGTCTTGGCGTAACAAAAACAATGCATCAGTATTCAGTGTCACATGACAAAGAAGGAAGAAACACCTTATGTTACATCTCTGACATTTTCAATTTTTGTTAGTGAGACCTAAACATTGCTGAACTACTCATTCTGTTAAACTTAAGCTTATCACTTTCACATTTGTTTTAAGTCCATTAAATTTTCTTCAGTTTCCTGTTTAAAGCAATCAATTGTGTGGATCAGTTATTCCAGATATACCAATGCCACAAGCCCAAAATCTTCGTTCTGTGTCATGCACAAGTGTTGAGTCGATTTCAAATGGGTTCAACAGATGAGAAAGATTTTCTTTTTCTTGAAGGGAAAGGTATTGAGCAAGTGATAACATGCGTCCAGTTTAAATCAATACAATGTTTTTGATGGTCCTTCTCTTAAATACGGTTTAACAGGTGTAGAGTGATGTCCAAGTGTTAAATTCTTATTATCTGCACAGGAAAAAGTAGATCTGCAAAACAAGACAAAAGTAAGACCAAGGTTAGTCTGTGTATACCAACATTAAACATAAATATAATGCAAACAGTGTTTCCCATTAATAGAGCAAAGAACTGTGATTCTCCATAGTCTAAATTTTCCCCATGACTTAAAACAAGGTGAGCACTAACTTGGTATTGAAAATATTATTTTGCATGTTATATCCTCATACATATATACAAATAACATAATATCTTAATCTTTAATCAGTCCTATTTAGATTAGTAGAGACAATAAGTGACATATTTAAGCGAGAAAATTGCAATACATATATTATTATTATTATTATTATTATTAATAATAATAATAATAATCAGCAAGGACTGTAAGTACCACCATAAACATGTATAAACTTAAAGGGAACAACATTTTCTAACAATGCTTTCTATAAAATTTCTGGTTTGACTGTAAAGTGAAAATCATACGTGACTGTCTTAGTTCATTGCTAATGGGGAAAAAAATCACATAACGATGTAACAGTAATTATCAACAGTGCGTCTTAATAAAACAAGGCGAATTTATACAACACGTTTAATAGCAATATAAGGTTAAGACTGAGGCCCAAGTCTCTGTTTTTTGCAGTGGGATGAACTATTATGTAACAGCTCAGCATCAACGAGCCTGTCACATTTACGAGCTTAAGTATTTAACAATAACAGTTTTCGCTGTCCGACATGTTTAAAATGTACATACAACAGACCTTCTCATACAACGCTAAGTAACAGTAACCCTGTTTAAGGCATAATTAAATCACAGGAACATCGCAAATTGTACACACATGCACGTTTCTTTTGTAGCTAACAAGGAATTAACAACAACGAATAGTTCAGTAACATAAAACTGAGACATTAAACGTCCTATTATGCAATCTGAGCAATAGTATGTTCAATGGTTAGCTTGTTTGTATCTTTATTATTCAGTGGTTGTGTTGCTTGCTAACTTTAAATGTTTGTCTACCTTCAGGGTTAGCGTTTCGTTGATAGCAAAATGCTAGCGTTACTTAGCCAGTTTAGAACCACAGTTAAACATGCTGGCTGGTTCAAAAAACGAAACGATTTACCCCAAATTAATCTACAAACGCATTTTACACACCAAAAGAATTTCAAATAAACAATTCAAATTGTCGTCGGGACCACGGTGTGGAGGTAAACAGACCTGGCTTCGTTGGACCAATACTGTTTCAAAATGGCTACCCTAGCAGCGGCAGCACACATTCATCAGCTTGCTAAAGGCTAAAGCTAACTTTCCAGGCTTTCATCACGATACCTGCTTTGGAGTCAGAGAATCTGTGGTGGATCGCTTCTTATGAACATTTCCGGACATCAGCAACGAGGTTATACTTTCACGCCACCATCAACCTAATTTATATGACGACTAGAAGTGTTTGTTTGGGTTTTCAGAGCGCTTACCACTGGCGCTGGCACTGAGGGATTCTGAGCCTTAATAGAGCTGCATTCAACAAGAAGCTTACTTATGCAACGTGTTACTGTTAAACAAACGTATGTACAAATACAAATGACCCATCTTAAAGCAACACATTTGGTTGCACTGCATATCAAATCTTGTTATAGGACTTATTTTATTGGTAACATAATTCTGACTAACGTTCTTTGGGCAGCATGTGTAAAACTATATTTTTCTCTTGAACATAACTCAGCATATCCCCGCCAAACCAATCGATAACAGAACCGCAACTCGTTCAAGAAAACTAGTAAAACAAGCAGGCATTTAATGGAGCATCGATAAATGACAGCCATCAAGCGGAACGACCTTTGGAGGTGGAGTACTCTGTAAACAAGTAATAAAGGTTTTCTACTGGTTTAGTCTTCACTGTTAGAATGAAAAAGGTCCTACTGTAAGCACCTGGCGCAACGACTTTTATTGTACGAGCACATAATATTGCATCATATCATGTAGCCTTATTGACGTAGCCGTTAGCTAACCAGTTAGCCTTGGTCGTTTGACTTGGTTTTAATAAGGTTTTAAAGTATATACAATAAAAATAATTTATCTGTCTTTGTTTCAGGTTGACATGTTAAAATTTGCATCAAGAGGCATAACTACAAAGGTGAGTGAGGATGTTGTATCCAGAAAAAACAACTGTCATTTATTTATATTTAAGTTTTTTCTAATAGTTATTATACCTTTTTTCTATTTAAGGTGACGGTATGGAGATACTTACAAAAGCAGACATTCAGATCACATAAACTCTCCACAAACTCCCATGTGTTCTTTCACCTCCCTTCATCACCACACAGATGGAACCCTAAAAGCAGTTTTTTGAGCACCAGACCCATCACCTGGAGGTTTTCATGCCTCTGTCATGAGAGGGCTACAGGAGAAAATCCACAAGAACATGAAAAAAACAGCTTCAGTCTTAAAGCTCTTTTCCAAAGTCCCAAACCAGCCTTGTATCTAGGTTTCTCTGGGCTCATCCCCTTTATGTCAGCCCCAGTTTTAATGGTAGCCACAAGTACCTTCTACCCTGAAGTCGCTTATGCTCAGATGGTTTATGGAGCATCCATTGTGTCATTTCTTGGAGGTGCACGCTGGGGTTTTGCTCTTCCTGAAGGCAGTCCTGCCCAACCTGATTGGAAAAACTTGGGAAATAGTGTGGTGCCATCACTTCTGGCCTGGATGGCATTACTCTGCCGGGACAACATTGCAGAAGGAGCTTTGGTTGTTATCATGGGACTTGGTCTGTCACTGCACTATGACCTTACCCTCCTGCCTGAATACCCTGCCTGGTTCAAAGCACTGCGGACCATCCTAACACTGGTGGCTACTTTCTCACTTGTGGCTACACTTGCACTTAAAAATATATATTCTGAAAAGGTAAAACAATAAACAATTTTAAAACATGCAAATGATTGGTTGGTTGGTCTCTTATTGAACTATGTCTTGGCAACAACACAAATTGTGGCTGAATATAATTTGTAATTGTAGTTTAAGTGCAGATCTAGTGTTGTGGTGTGCCACCTACTCATCTCAATGCAATTGTTACTGTTTTGCCTAGAATGTTCCACAGTATGGTATTAAACTTCTCTTACTAAGAAGCACAGGTGGCACCACCAGCTACAGATCTGAGAGGTGACCCAGGTGAGTAAAAATGTATGTTTTTCAAGAAATTGTAGGCTCGTAGTCTACTGAAGTAATTGTGATATGGGACATGTTAATGCCTTACTTAAAGGTTGTATGGAGGATTTTTTTTTTGTTTCAAGTTGTCAATGATAGCATTATAGAGGTGCAGTAGCCTTGTAATTATGATGACCAAAAAAAAGAGAATAAAAATTCATCAACTCTGGACGTGGTGGGGCCAGCTAAACATTTGCCAATAGATAACGACATTGCCTCGTTATCTGTTAGCTGACAGGCTGTCAATCAAACTCCCTACGTTTCTAGCGTAACTGACCTGCCTGCGCGCCGCCGGTACGTGGTTTACGTACGCCTGTCACGCAGTCCACAGACGCAAGACGCACAGACGCTGTTTACTCCACCAACGCAACAGTTCTTAGCGGCTTTTTTTGACCTATATCTTCCTCGCAGTTAGCACAAAGTTTGTTGCAATGGCAGACAAGAATCCAGGAGCAGTTAGCCGCAAAAGAAAGTCCGTTTTTGAGGTCGCTGAAAGAAGAAGACAAGGGGAAAAGCAGCGAAGCCAAACTAAGGTGATTCTTGTAGATTCATTCCAGCGATGGCGCGACTGAAGCAGACGCAGGGTCTAAAGACTGACGCATTGGTCGCCAAATTACTCCTGGACAGGTAACTTCTGCTTATTATGAAAACGTACTTTATTTCCAAGAGCTAGTCAAACGTTTTTCAGGACACGAAAGCGATATCCTATGTCTGAAAACGTAATTTTCAAGGCAAAGAAAGAGTCCGCTTGCTGCTGCGTGTTGTAGCTAGTTCATTCGCACTGAATCTCCGCGCAACCTTCTCTGCTCCCCTTTCCTACTCCTGTCCCCGCTGCCCGTTCCGCTCTTCCCCCTTCTCCTCACTTCTACGGGCACGTAATCTCCGCGCACCGCTCCCCTCTCCTCTCTCCTCTCTCCTCTCTCCCTGCTCCGCTCTTCTCCCTGCTCCTCACTTCTCGTCCGCGAACGAAATGTCCGCACACCCGCTCCACCCGCTCCTCACTTCTCCGCCTTGCCTAACCAACACTGTAGTTAGTTGTTTACAAGTCATGTGCAGCGCACTGGCTGTAAACAAACCTGTTTCTGGCGTAGTGAGGAGGCGGGAGAAGGCGTTTCTACGTAGGAGCTGTAGGGGAGGGGGGGTGGTTTCACGCATGCGCAACATTTGAAAAAGGACAAACAGTCGCTGGATTTCTCGTTCCTTGGAAAATCCTCTATACAACCTTTAAGGTATATTTTATTGTTTTCGTAGGGAAATTTGAGCATTATATTTGACCCTTCTTTCAGTGTTGTTGGTGTAACCTGTTGGACCAATTTCTAGATATTAAGGTGGGCTTAGTGAGGACTACCTTAGCATATTTTGGGTAACTGGAACATTTAGGAAAAGTCATGCAGTGCATATTTAGTAATTGCCGTATATATAACTTCATAGCAAATATATGCTAGTCTGTATTTTTATGACATGATGAGGCACAAAAGCTTACACAACTCGTCAATTCAAAGTGCTATCAGGCTACATTCTCATGTAAAAGTCATCACATTAATATAAATAAATAGAAATAGAAAGACAACTAGTTATAGTGGAAACCTGTACAAAATGAGATTGATATGACACATACATGTCTAGTGTTTCCTCAATAAACAACTGGTTTATGGTTTCAAGTATAAACATAATGTAAACAGTTTTTAGATGTGCATTATAAACAGGTTCAGTGAATGGTAAAAGGTTTAGAAAAGACATACATAGCAAAGGTGTAGGTTTACACTCTGTCTCTGTCTAAGGTGCACATCTATACAGTCTGAAGGAGTTTTGAGACCACTCTAGTTTTTGGTTGATTGTCATAACATAGCCAGGCCACCATCACAGCGGCTTGTGATCATGTTGCCCACTTCAGTCCAGGTGTCCAGGTGAGGGTCGTAAATCTCCACTGAGTCTACAGTCACTGGTGCAGAGAAGTCTCTGCTTGCTGCTCGGCCTCCAACAGCATAAAGAAATCCATTAACTGCAGATACTGATACTCCTGCACGTGCTGTTGACATTGGTGCCACCTCTGTCCATTTTTCCTGTATACAGAAGTAGGTAAGTAGGGAGGTAAGTTAAGGTATGGTAAGAGGTAAAATAAGAAACAATACATCATGAGTTTGAACACATGATGATAAACTTTTGCTTACTTCTTCAGGACAATACTTTTCCACAGTCTCAAGGGCACCAAGTGCCTCATTCCATCCTCCCACAGCGTAAATGCAGTTATTGAGGCAGGCTACACCTACATAGGCTCGCCGAGTGGCCATGACTGGCAGGGCAGTCCATCGACGAGCTATGGGGTCATACACCTCAGCCGAACGTAGCTCTGTGCCTTCATCACTGATTCCCCCAATCACATATATAAACCCTGAAAGACAACAGTGCTTACGCCAGTGCAATGACGGACTATCTAATCTATTTGTTATGATAAGTATAAATGTACTTGAGCAATTCTGAGCCTTGTGAGGATTATCGTCAATAAAAGATACCTTGTAGCTCACAACAGCCAAAGTAGTATCTTGGAACTGCCATATTACCAATGACCTCCCACTTGTTCTCCTCGGGGTCATAACGTTCCATAGTTTTTCCAATTTCTGAACCAATCCAACCTCCTACAATTTCATTTATAAAGAAATATATGAAAAACTAAAAACACACAATAATATATATATATATATATATATATATGTATACATGTGTGTGTGTATATATATATATATATATATATATATATATATATATATATATATATATATATATATATATATATATATATATATATAAGCTTACTTGGCTTGTGCAGCAGTACTGCTACTGCTATTTAAAAAGATAAGGTGGATGGCCTTACCCAGTGCATATAGAGCACCATGGCATGGGCAAATGCCAACTCCACATCGTGGAAAGTTCAAAGAAGCCACAGCAGCCCATTGTTTGGTGACTGGGTCATATCTTTCAGTGCAGTCGAATATCATTGAGTCTTTCTCTCCTGTCAATTACAAATAATTTGTCATACAAATGTTAGAGATTCATTAGAGAAGAATTTGGTAAAATGTTAATTGGCTTACCTCCCACCACATAAATCATTCCTTCCAATACAGCAACCCCCAGCCCGCTGCGAGCCTGGTGAATGGACGACACAGTGGTCCAATACTGGTTAAAAGTGTCAAATCGCTCCACACAGCTCAAGGCCCTGCTGTCACTCCAGCGGCCACCTTGCAGTCTGGTGTATCCTCCTAAAATAAAAGCATGTCACAAACGTATTAATTAATGGCTAAGTATTATGAGAAAAGAGAAAAAGGAAAACCATACCTATTGCATAGAGATATTTCCGAGCTTTTCTCCTAGGTCTCATCTTGACTGATTGTAGGGGGCTATACATTTTATTTTCTTTTGGAGACTTTGGTACTTCAGTGTATTCCTTTAACAGAGTTTGCAGTGCCACGCGTAGACTAAAGTCAGCTATATCTTAAAGAGACAAGTTTTTTTTAGTTTCATTGGCTTTAATTTGTTATTTTTGAATGCTAAATCTCTTTTTTTACCTTCAATATATTTAAAAAGTCTTTTTGGGGAGAGTAATGGGAACCGTACTGGTTCTAACACCTCCACAATGTATTTTTTCCTCTTTGACAGATCTCGAAGAACCCAGTCCATCGCTGCTGTGAAAACCTGATACTCGTCCTCTATTCTCAACTCCTCACTTCTGAGTATCCTTACTAACTGATCCTTTAACAGCCCCTTGAAATCTTCAGTGGTACACACCTAAAATGAAGCACAAAAGCATACAACAATCCATAAATCAATTCAACAATCCAACTTCTTTAAGCAGTCTGTTTTGTTGGCAGATTCAAGAGTTAATTTTGAATTGGGTAAAAAAATGTGGTTCATACTTCCAAAAAGTGAACATGAACGTAGTTTTCTGTGAATTCAAGCATCTCCATACAGGAAATCTGTTCCAAGAACTGAAAAATTCCCACACAGTTGGATGGGTCCATGTGACTCTTCAGAAACTCTCCACAGATAGAAACTACTTCAGTCAGCTGAAGCATGTCTGCTGCCACCATCAACTCCTGTACATTTTCTACAGTTATGTTTATCAATCCTGCAAATGAAAGAAAAAAAAAAGAGAAACACACAAACAATTTAATAAGCACAAACCCAAATCATGTGAAAACTACAGTCTACTTGGTTTTACCTGTGTATATAAAGTCCAATAAAATTTCAAAGACTTCTCTCTCAACTCCATGGATCCGGACTTCTTCTTTTTCTGACTCTCTCATCCCTCCAGAAAAAAGTGCAGAGAAATATGGGCTACTAGCAGCTAGTACAAGTCTGTGTACCCTAAATACCTGACCCCCCACATTCAGTCCCACATCACAGAAGTCATGGCGTAGCCGCATCTTGTTCATCTGTTCCAGGATGAGTCTAGCGTAGCGATCAGAGGCCAGGACAACCTGCTCCAATGCACGGGCCGCATCCCCACCATCGCCCCCACAACTCACAGATGCTGAGGAGGAAGACATGGCACTGGACAGGCAAGGGCTGTGTTAACACGGGATACACGCCTTGAGCTCTAGGAAGAGGCAAATAGATAATGTTCTGCATAAATTGTCATACTGAAGATTAAAAATCAAAATATCAAGTGTTTGCAAACCACAGTAAATAACAATTAATAATCGGTAGCATTTATGCTAAGGTAAAGTTTGAGTAAGAAAGCACGAATTTTACGAAATCGGAAGTTATGTCAAGTTTGTTTCTAAATTCTGCGAGCACATAACATACACACACATACAAACTGTTTACTACTCAGTAATAACGGCGGATTACCCATAAGTTTATTGATGATGCAGGGAACTTCCTGCTGGCTGTCAATCGATATCTCTGCATCGACTGGTCTGCTCTGCAAGATTGTAGGTATAGCTAATCGAGTAACCAATCGAAACTATAACAGGTCCCACTATCAACACTAGATGGCATTGCAGTAAAAGTAATTTAAACTTGAAAACCCTCAACTAATCATTCAAAAATAATAACCATGATATTTGGACCACGTGAGCCTTGGTAAGCTACAACCTTCAATTTAAAAAGTTTCCCACACATGGCAAATCTAATTGCATAGCATAGCAAATAACCATGTATTTTATTACTATATCCCTTATTTATTTTTTTTATTATTTTTTTTATTTAAAGCATACATACATACATACATACGTACGTACGTACGTACATAGACATTACACAAGACATTTTTAATAATATAAGAAACTGAATTTTGTGTAAGTAGGCTGACATTTCACACACTTGAAGTACAAGTTCTTTAGCATCTGTAAAACTTGTATTTCTTGCATTCAATGTGTTTGCCAGATACGGTGATGATGTAGGTTACTTACTAAGAATATCAGGTGGCACCTGCACCAGCTAGTTAAAAGTCATGCCAGCCTGGCCACCCCTTCACCTGCACCCTTCATAGAGTTGCCCTGTATTGTTCAATTTCCAGTGTGTCCTGTTTCTCTAAAGGTCATCCAACAATAACTGAACAATTAGCTTTTTAAAAAATACAATAATCATGCACTATAGGCGATTAAGAAGCAACTAACCTCATAAAATGACTGTATCTTGAAAACAGAAATTGGTTGTATCTTTTTTGCACTCAACAATAACATAAGAATCACTGGGCTATAAAGAATTGTATTATTACAACTTCTATTACTTTTACTATTTCATCATATTTATTTATTTATTTATCTATTTTTATTATATATATTATATTATATATTTTTAACTATAAAATCAAATAAATATGGTTCAAGATCATTTTGATTAGGCTTCAGTTTAAACAGCAAATCTATGCCTTCAAAGTCCAAACATAATAGTTTTATTTACACAGGACTGTCTGGTGCATCTGTCGATTAAAAACCCTCTGCCAATCTGCAACCGATCATCATGATTTCATTAAAAATTTAATAATTGTACCGGTTTAGTTTTTTTGTTCAGTTTTATCTTTGTATAATGTATGCAATTTGTATAATGCCACTAGGACATCATATAGTAATATAACAAAAGCCAAAATATTTCACTAATGTTTAATGCAATGGAAAAACATTTTTCCCCAATATTAAAATAGCATAGTTATTGTTGTTAGTGGTGAATGACTTACTGTAGCAAAACCTGTAGTCTTTTAGTCTGTTGAGTATCAGTCTCTTGCAGAACTGGTTCAGGTGAGGCACACAAAGCAGGTGACTTCATGTTTTAGCCTAGCGTGTACAATATTTGTGTTCTTAAACACGTTTACATATGTCCTCCAAATGTTTGCTTAGACAATGGCTTGACTCAGGCTCCTGTCCTCCCTTGACAGGACTTGTGAACTGCATAACCCTTCTTTATCTTGTCTTGGCTGGAGTTCAGTGTGACTGTGTATATGCAGCAGTGAAGGGAAGAGTGATTCTCCTTTTGAACTCTGAATCCTCTCTCACTCTGACAAATTGGATGTTTAATTTATCTGAGAGCTGAGATCCTTAAATAAAACTCCAGGAGATTGAATGGAAGGCATGTACATTTTCAAATGCTATATCATTCCAAAACACACAAATTTGTCTTTTTTTTTTTTTTTTTTAATGAATGTGCACCACCGTAAATAAAAATGCATTGTATAAGAAGGAAGACTGGAAATGTACTGTATACAATATATTACTTGCCTGAATAAAATGAGTCTCAATAATTATAAGCACTATGTAACTTTTCTTTTGGAAGGAATTAATCATTCATCTCCATGAAGACAAACCAGTGATGCCATCAGGCCAAGTTACAGGTCAGATATGTGGAGACACGCACATTCTGGCAGTAAGAATGCATGTATTTCAAAATATTCTTTCTTATCAATAAAATAATAATAATAATAATTGAACAAAAGTAAGATATATTTAAGTTAACAGTGTAACATTGGAGAATCCACACAAAAGTCCCATGGAGACCATCAGCTGGTATTATAGTATCTGGTTGTATTGTGGGTAATAGAATACAACCAGATGTTTTATTTTATTTAATTCAAAGGTAGATTTATTATACGGTCACTTTGCCCTCTCTTCCATATCAAAGGGAGCTTTGCAACTTTTACCTCTCTGAAGGGCAAAAAGACAACAAGGAGACACAAGGACTGAGACAGTTACATCTTTTTTTTACTGTTTTTTGTCTAGATTTTTGTCTTGTAGAGACTCAAACAACATAAAACATGGCTGTTTTTAATGAACACTTGCATCTATTTTTGTACCAAATATGCCTAAAAGATTATTGAAGCTAAGAATATGGATTTCCGTATGTACATCATAATTGTGGTATAATGACTCCAAATAATATTACACTTATATAATATTACACTTAGCCTATTCAGTTAGCCACCTTTAAAAGTTGTTTTTAGAGATGGTAGATGTATTGAAAAAGGTATAATCGCTGTACTTTGGGTGGAAATATAAAATAAAACATATAATGTATAATACTACATAGGCTAATTAAAAGTGCCAAAAGTGCTGAAAATTAATATAAAAGAAAGCTGCAGTGTAATGTTTCAAATAAGAGTTTTGTAGTGACTTCGTCAATATTTAAGCCTACATAAAGACAAGACATGGCATTTCTGGTAGATTGCTATAATACTGTCTAAAAAGGCTATTGTCATCCTCCAAAAATATTCATTTTTGTCAATATGGCATTTCCATAGTGGTTTTCTGTTTTGTCCCAGGCCTAAATTCTATAACCATGCCATATAAACAACACAAGTAGCCTACTAAAACTGTTTGTATGGTAACATTGTGGGTAATGATCTTTAGCGGGATTCAGGGCAGCCAATGAATGTTGAGCTTGTATGCTGCTTGGCAGGATCTCTTGTCTCCATCCTATAAGCCGGCTATAATGTGCTAGTAAAAGAGTAAGGGAAAAGTCTTCTTATCGATTCTGCCTCCAACATAGCAACTGCGCGCTGATTGGCCGGTGCTAATACAAAATCCGCCTCTGATTGGCTGGTCGTCCTGTGTGAAAATGTGGACTCAGACGGAGACAGGGTAGAGGGAGGTGGCGATTGGCTGCCGCTAAACTGAAAGCAAAAACCTCTTTTCTGAGGCCTGCGAGACTGTTGATGGTGTGTATTTTAGGCGTGACTCCAAAGGCAATTCTTCTTGCTCCCCCCACTCGGAGCACATCCCCCAAGACGTAATTAAATTGTGGTCTATAAACCAAAATCACCTCTGAAAATATAAACACGTCACCTCTATACAAAGGTGGAAAAGAGAGAAAGCTAGGTGAGTTATCATAGGAGTGTGTATCGTTTGGGAAACCATGTAGCCCATGTTAAATAAGTTTATAGAGCGGGGAGGAAGTTTTCAGTAGAGATCCTGCATTTTCTGGCCTGTTCTGTATTTTTAAGATACCCTTTAGATTTACACATTTCTGTGAGTTCTTTCTATTTTGGTCTCCTCCACACATTTTCTCATCCCACTCTCGCTGTCTCTTGATTCTGACACACTTGTAGGAGCAGCGGCCCGAGGGTGACTCAGCGCTGGTACAGACTGTCCTCTCTGGTCCATCTCCAAACTATGCGTGCGAAGGTCCTCTGCTGCCAGCCGCCTGCTTGCATCTTTCTTCACCATGTAGCTCTGTTCTTTGCTGACACAGGTAACAAGAGGTAATCCGTGCTACGCCCCTCCCCCTTGCATCTCATTAATCCCCAGTTAACACACACCTTAAGTGATGACTGAAATGGGCCACCTGTTGAATTGGTCATGGGGTTTGGGCAGGACTGCTTTCATTACTATATACTGTGCAGTTCCTGTTTGAATCCTGAAACACTGCCGTCCCAGTCTGAGAAAGTGAAGCAGCTCCTTTTGGCTGGTGTTTACAGTTGGTCAACATTCCTTTCACCATGAAGTAGGCCAGAAATCTAAAGTGCGTTTCCTAGGTTGAACATTTTCACTGACTTTACAGCAAGGCCAAACTAAACAGGCCTTGCTTTCACATGTCCTGCCATTGTGTTCAGCACTTCCCTTTCGCTTCCATCTGTCCACAGTGTCCTCCTTTGCCCTCAGCACTGACCCAAGGATAAGCCGTCAGGCTGCTATGGCTACAGCAGAGACAGATGGTACATTCAAGATAACAATTCATCACTTAAAAACTCCTATCACCATAATCATTTCCAGGCGTTGCAAATATAAAATTTACGTTACATTTAAAATACTGTACCATGCACAGTGATTTTAATTATTGCAGAAGTAAATCTTTCTTTGGGAAATTCAAGTAAAGGTCAGTACTCTGTGGAGAACAAAATGTTTAGCTTTAATGGGGATCCTGTTCATTGTTCCACTGGAATGTTAATGCTTCTGTACATTTTTAAGATACAAACCGGACATGCCGATTTCACTCGCACCAAGAACAAAAGATCATTTAGCAAAGTATTTCCTTTTGCGTTGTAATGACTCACCATTGTGCACATTTGCCACTGAACTAAGACATAACTGAGCTGTTTGTATCAGCTCTGGGCTCCATTTTTTTTAACACTGCGTCATAGTACTATTGCCTTTACAGAACTGAATAGGTTTTCACATTGTTCTATCAATAGTATTTTTTAAGACTATTGCTAAGTGCAATTACCAAACTCTAGAACACTCACATAAATTAGACAAATAAAACAATATGAATAGTCGACAAAACCTTTATCAGTTTATTGTCTTTCAGCAAGAAAAGTCAGGCTCTCACATTGCTTTTGAGTATTTTCCAACCCACTGTATTTTATAAGAGGCAGAATCACCCTCTTTCCATTGAATAGA